GTCAACAACCCTATCTGTTTTAAATAATTTCTTGAAATTTGCCATATCATATCAGTACATAGCCCTAAAGCTAATTTACTGTTGATAGTGATAAAAATATAATATTTTCAAATAGGCTAAATATTGTTCGTGGTGAACATATACAAAAAACTAATACACTTTGACTTACATTATTGTATAAAGCTGATTACAGCGCAGCAAAGAAAACACGGAAAAGCCAATCTAAACAAAGTTAGAACACGCTGTAATTGGTCGAGTAAATTTATTCATTTATTACGCACCTTTGGTACCAAATTCACTTAGTATGTTGCAAACATAGGAGTCTCAGATAATACATTGAGTCAATTAAAGTTTTTAACGCAGACAGTTTGAATTAGTTCTAAACATTACTTGTGACTTAAAAAATCACACCATGCAGAGGGCACTAGCATTAAAGCCGTCACTAATTTTGAACTGATAAACTACTGGGAAGGCAACTAGTTAATAGCCCACTGCCATCTCTTGGATTATCTTGTCTGATAGAACAATGGGACTTGACTGTCACTCTTATAATGCATCCATGGTCCCAAAGTGCGGAGTGCGTTTTTGCGGCAATGGGCCGGGAACCATGAACCATCGAATGACCCATTTAATAAATAAAATGAGTTGTGTATCCCCTGACTGTTTCGGAGAAATTCTATGAAAGTTTGATCCTTGGCTTACAATATCAAAATCAATGTTTGCTTGTAACAACATTTCATTAATTAAGGGACCTATGCAGTATGAAAGTATTTTAATGAATGTGTAACATGTTGAAAATATAATTAATGCAATACTATTGTTGTAAAAAGAGAAATAAGTAAAATGAAGATCTCGTATCACATAAAGTCACACCCAAAAAATGTCATTTCTGCTATCTGACAATCGTATTCAGGTTTGTTTGTTTTAGAGGGGAAAAAAACTCCTTTATAGACACAAGTTGGTTAACATTAATATGAAAATCTTGCTAAAAGTACTTATCTAATGTTACTGTGTTCTATTTTTAGTTTAATTAAAATTAAGAACTTTCATTATTTGTTTTTTTCCTTTCTTTTACATACAACAAATTTCAATTAAGGGTCGAACGTAGCTTAGTAGTTAGCGTGTCGGGCTGAGGATTAGAAGATCCAAGATTCACTCCTTAATGACGCTGAACGTGGTCGTAGTTTCATCTGTGAGTGCGTTATAAAAGCTCGGTTCAAAGTTGTTCGAAGCCTCTCTGGCGCCGAGTGCTTCTCACTAGCTAAATACTCTCTGGTCACTAGTTCAAAATTAGGGGCAGATGTATTAGAGCCTCTAAGTTCTCTGATCTGACCGATTATTCTCATAATTTGCTGTTCACTTTAATTTTAATTAAAACGTTTTTCTGAAAGTAAATAATATGCATTCTGTAAATTAATTAATATAAGTTCTTTTTTTCAGATCAATGTCTTATTTGTTTGATGTTATATTAAACTCTATACAGTTTCCTTATCAATATTGACTCAGAATGATTCAACACGGCATTTGTTCATTTTAATGCAATCATCCCTGGCTTGTCCTGGTATTGAACGAAAGGCCTCGTCGGTACTGGATATAGCAGTTATAATATGTTTGGCTTATTATTATTATTATCATACATTTTTTTCACTTTCACTCAGAAGCTCTTATTAATACATGTAATTTTTGAATTAGCACACAAAAACTATGTTAAGATCACACGTCTTTTGTTCTTTCGCTTGAAATTAAAGAAAGCTAGAAAAATCTTTTCATGCGGTAATGTATAGCATGTATTTTTAGGGCTAAGTTAGTTTTATTTTTTACATTTTTGCATCTGCGATCGAGGAATTTGATCTTTCACATTGTTAATATCTGTGATGATAGGCTGACCTGTGTTCCTTCGAGTCTCAGGTACATACAACTTTACTGATATCTTAGTCCCGATATAGAATGGTTTGGTACTGAAATATTACAAGCCCAGCTAATGCCACGTTACATGACAAGCAAATAACATAATTAAATCGTTTGGCAAAAGGAGAAAGATATTTACATGAATAGTTGTGTTGTGGTGACATAATAAACAGAGAAAAGATTGAAAATATTGTAATAAATATTATTATACCCGTAGAATGAATTATTTGTCGTGATTGGGTGAGAGCACAGAAACTGGTATGAAAAATATATACAGTTTTGCTTTGAAAAGCTGATCAACAAATCGCCTTAAAGTTGCCAGGTTGGCAAGGCCGTTGCCATGCAGACAATAATTATTTGCAGCATAGTGACAACACATTGATTCATTTAGACCGAATTACAAAAACTGTTCAGACTCGTAAAATGAACGTGGAAATATCATGAACAGCTGTAGAGACAGCAGAATTTTGCAGATGACAATATTTCTGCAACACAATGAAAACACTCTGATTAATATCGACCTAATTTAAAAAAACAAAACAACAAAAAACGTCGGAAATCTTGCCGGCATTCTAAGAAAATATTACACTGAAGTTCGACTTTATACTGTTATTGTTATATCACGTGATGATGAGCTGTTATGTTTTGAAAATTAAACAATTTTTAAATCTTGTTGATTCTTAAAATGAGGTAAAATTTTCAATTAAATGTTAGACTTTAAGACTTACGCGTAGTCCAGGGGATCTAGGCTAAATATACTATGTCACAGTATTAATTAATCAGATTTTATTAGAAATGAAAACACAAGAAGGGTTGGAATAAAACAATCATTGTCTGGTGATTTCGGGCAACAGATCATTTGTTGTCTTCATAACCTATCAATAATTGTTCATTGACAATATCTAACAAGCCAACGCCACCAAATTAAATCTTGATGCATCACAGGGGCTAAAATATGATCATTTCAGTGTCGTTTTAAGAATTTTTGTCAGTCTTCTGTGACTCAAATATTTCAAACACGTCTGTGTAATAAATGAAACAACACCAACTGTTTTAATTTGTTGCAATCAAATAAAGACTCATTAACACACGTTTTGGAGTTACCTTTGGCTTTCTTAAACAATTATATTAATTATTTGTATTTTCGTGCTAAAAATATCTTTTTCTTCAAAAGAACAGTTGTTGATTTTATGTGATTCACAAAATGCTCGGAAGTATTTCATTTCGTTATGTATGCCATTACATTAGGTATATCTTGCAACAAGTTAAAATAATCATGAATATTTAAAATCTGATGCTGTTATGTAAAACAACAACAACTAAAAACTTACGCATATTTGGTTTTTAAACCTTCAAAGTTTGATACCGGTATGTGAAACAAACACATACACATTTTGAAAAATGAAAAACTTGCTATTTCTGCCAAGATTCTACCGTTTCTGTTTTACGAGAGTTTATAGTTACATAAGTGGCGTAGAAACCATCTTGTGTTGTCGTAGAAAATATAACATTCTTTTATGGTTTGATTTCTGCTATAAATAAGCACATTTTTTTATTTGTTTTCCTTTCTTCAGCTATAGCATGCCAACCTCCAATTCCACCTCCTAATGGCCGGATATTTGACACAGGGCGCTACCTGACGAGAGACACAGTAACGTTTGTTTGTCACACAGGGTTTATTCTGAAAGGTGAACCTGTATTGGTTTGTAACGATGAAGGAGAGTGGTCTCAACCAACTCCAATCTGTAAGATAATTTTCAAATTTTCAATGTTTTTTTATTATATTTTATCTATATTTAGTTGGAATGCTGATGTTACCAATTTTATTAACATATAAAGGAGGGAATCAAATTTTTGTTGGTTCTCAGGATTTGTGTAATGTAATAAAGATTGTACAATTATGGGAATTTTTAATGTCCTATTTGATCTCTTAAAAAATGGAAATGTTATTGAGTGTTTTCTTCTATTCTTCATAATAGATTTGCTTATAGTTTGAAACGAAGTAGAATTTAATGTTCAACTAAAAATGAGATCTGAGTCTTCCTAATTTCTCCTACTGAGTGCTATGGTTATCATGTTTGTCATTGTTTACATCTGAGCAACGCGAACTCAGAAGTGTTGTTTTCTTGGTGCAAAGCTATACAGTGGGCTATCTGCGCTTTGTCCATCGAACTCCGGATTTTAGCTTGCAAGTCCGTCAACTTACCGCTGACCCACCGAGAGCCAATTCAGACGTGATCTGCGTTTAAGAGTAATGAAATGAAACATTTACAAATCAAACATATTTCAATGTTTTTTCTTAAGAAAATCTGACCTCATATTTTAAGAAATTTACCACAATGAGTTTTCCAAATAGTGAAAATTTACTATGGTCATTTCCATCCATGTAGCTTTCCTTGCGGTTGTCACCTTGCATAAGTTTTGGTCAAACGAATGGCTACTTCTCGCTGTAATATTTTAAAGTATTTTATGTTCATAGCAAAAATGATTCTCCAGCTTTTAAAATAGTAATTGTTTATATGATATGATAACAATGAACAAGAATTAACAAAAAACAAAGCGAAAATTTCAAACGTTTTAATTATTTATTCCCAAATTATAGCGTTTTGCAACCCGTCTGCCTCTACAGAAACGTTATCTCTCACATGGTTTGTTTCTCGTGTAAGTTTCTCTTGTTTATCGACTAATGCGAGGACCTGACATAGTCTGTTGATTAGTGCGCTCGATTCGCTATTTACGGATCGCGGGTTAGAATTCTGACACCGAACAAACTCGCCTTTCCAGCCGTGGGGGCCTTATAATGAAACATTCAATCCCATTATTCGATTAGAATAGGCCAAGAGTTGGTGGTGGGTGGTGTTGACTAGCTGCTTTCCCTCTAGTCTAGCACTTCTAAATTAATGATGGCCAGCGCAGACAGACCTCGAGTAGCTTTGTGCGAAATTAACTAAATAAATAAACAAACAAACAGAGTAATGCATGTTAAGCCTCATTATATATTAAAAAACACCGTATCAAGCCATGTTGTAGATAAATATCTTACTAACGGAGTATCGAGATTTTAAAAGTCACATAATATTTTTCACAATAACAATTCTGATATCATTTCTGTAATGCCAACAGGTAAGCCTGCCTGTGAATTCCCGGGTGAACCAGCAAACGGACATATAATCCCAACTAAATTCCATTATGACATCGATGAATTTGTTGTAGTGTCATGCAACAAAGGATACCGTCGACTGGGATCCAAACAGTTGCGCTGCACTCTCTCTGGACACTGGTCAAGTCCTTTGCCTCATTGTCGTCCTTACAGTAGATAAACAAGATGGTTTTCTGCCCCCTACTGGTTGTTTGAAGAATTACCTATATGTTTCTTCCATAGGGAAGTGGGTCCAGTTAGCTACGGTCAAATGAACTTGTGATAAAATTTTGACCCGATCTATATATAAACCGTTAATCATCTTTTCTTTTACGGGGAAAAAAAAAGCGGATGAATTGGCTGAAAAATACGACATTTAATAAAATGTTTTATACCGAAGCGAATTAATCTCGTTGATGTAAGAACGTATTACACTCGAGCTTTTGAATATCTTTATGGATTAGGCTTACTAATATTGTCTTATTTTCTAATCTAATAGATCTTTTTCGATTCTGTCGTATATAATTATCAAGTTGTGTTTCCTTTATCATTTGCAAATGCAGGAAGTTTTGTTATATAAAGTACTAAGCATATTATCCTCCGTATCACTTTTTTTATATAATAAAGTGTTTATCGATGGCATCTTTGTGTAAAGTTCAGTCTGCCCCTGCTGTTGTAAAAATAGTTTGAAGCCAAAAATGAACAGTATAACCTAGTTTGTGGGTACAATATATTTTGTATTTATTTTAAAACTCAATAATTACTTCTAAGACGATATTAGTATTCACGATGATTAACACTTAAGGGGAAGTTATTTGCTCCTTAACCCTTAGGTGATATATCGAACTTAGCACGATATTCTATGTTATAAACGACGTGTTTGTTAGAGAAACTTTTCAACATTTACTTTTAGCTTGACCCTCTTAAATATTTAAATTGTGTTTCTCAAGGAACATCTACCACACTAAAACATTTAGAAGACAAATAGAAGTACTGGTGCCACTTAATGCTCCAAACATAACACAAAATGCAGCTTTAAATGGATAACTATAAATTAACTTATTAGCATCGAATTACACAACATTTCACGTTAAAACACCTTTTAAAATATCAAAGACGACACGTTATGTGATGTATTGAAAATACATCAAATTTTATTTCGAGTAATTCTTGTGTTATTTATTATGTTCCAAATTAGATGTTATTTTCGTGAATATCTAACAACTACTTTCAAAAATGGGTTTAGACAGTGGGTTGACATGTGGACTGAGTTTCCTATGAATTTTTCCTGCCGTTTTTTTTTGGGGGGGGGGCTGTGTGTGAAAGAGTTTTGGTTTCGAGACGTCGTTTCGGGATCAATGCTGAAAATTGACAGAACTCCAATGAAACTCAGTCCAAATGACTAAAAAACGTTTTTACTATTCGTAAGTTCTTGTGCCATACAATTCAACCATTTTTCATAATCGTACACATATAAATTTATTGAATGCACCTTTATGGTTGTATTATATTGTATTCAAACATTCATTTTACTTACAACACCCTATTTCCACCAAATTATCATTGCTTTGAAAATAATATTAACATTTTTTGGACGAAATCAAATCATTTGTTGTTTTTGTAATTTAAAATGACCTAAAAAGAAAAAAATGTATTTGGAAGTTCACATTTAATAAAAATTAATTTGTAAAGTACTATGTCAGATGATTATCTTTATAATACAAATAACTAATATTATGTTTAATGTGCATTATTGCCTTATTTTTGAAGTTCCCAATAGTGTTTTGTGCATGTTTTGGTTTTAAAAAACATCTGTTCTTTAAACTAAAGGAACATATAAACCCGTATACTGTATTTATCATATCTTTGAAAATAAATTTTGTCCCATGAAATTAGCATCACCCTTGTTATGAAATCGATTGTATATGAAAAAAGTGACAATATTTCTGATTGCTTTCCATGTTTTTGTTCAAATAAAATAGTTGGTAAATAAAAAGATTTCCATACAGAACAAAAAAGTCGTTGAAAAGCTAAAACACTCAGACTCCATCAAATCACTTATCAAGTATGTAATAGACTTAACTCCCAACTTTTAATTTCAAATAACCTATAATGAAATTAATCAAACTTTAGAAATTAAAAATAGCCAATAACTGTTAAATATAACTACGGATGTGAACATTAAGCCGCTAACCTGGAGGAGGGAGTGAAAAAATCGATAAAACTAAAGAGTAAGGTGATATAATATATGGTGAATGTTGAGACGTTCCCCCAGATGCCTACACACTTGAAATTGCAGAACTAATGTATGTAATGTACGTTTACTCTTCTCCTTTGCTTGGATTAAATGACAATATAAAATTATTTATTTATTCTGAACCATGGTGCAATAGAATTACCTTATAACTTTCAATTATAATCATTATATCTGCTAAATTTCATATTAAATCGTATTAACTGGTGGAAGATGAAACGAAACATTTTACAAAAAGTAAAAAGCTAGTTAGAATGAAAATACATATTTGATTATTAAAATCGTTTAAACTCGCATTAGAAATCGAGACACTTCCACACGGATGCACCAATGGAAAGTGCTGCAGTTAGGTTCATTTTGTTCTTTCTAAACGAATCAGTTAGTGTCGCGTTTCTGCTGTATTGGCATATATATGCATACCATGCATGTTTTCCTTGACAAGTTGCTGCACGGGTAAAAGTTGCTGAAACTTAAACTCACTAAAGGCCACTTCAAACAAATGCACAAGACGTAGTTAGAAGAAGTCAGAATCAATTTCGTGACAGAGAAGCACATTGTTCAGCTCACCAAGTTCCTGACAGAAAATACGACCGTGGGGGTGGAGTTTTTGCTAGTTAAATATAATACTTTAAAAATTAAGGATTAAACGCCGAAAGCTGGCCAAGCATTAATTGGAAATTATTTGACCTAAAATTTGTCTTTCTTTGTTGTTAAGCGCAAAACTATACTAAGGACTACCTGTGCTCTAACCATTGCGGGTATCGAAACCTAATTTTTAGAGTAATAAGTCACTTAAACTACTGATGTTTTCTTTTTCACATTCCTCTTATTTTGTCCAATGCAGATTAAAAATCCCGAAGCGTGTACAAGCACCATTTCAATCCATCTTTTTGTCTCCAATAAGTCAAAGCTCAAGAGGCCTTTCGTTTAATACTAGAACTCATCAGTTGGAGTGGACGACGAAAAACAAAAGATTATTTACAATTTCTCTTTGCTGCAACAGAAACAGTCGAGAGGGATAAAACTTTCTTACTAAGTTTAACAAGGATTTTGAGGCCAGACGCACAGTTAAAATATATGTTTTAAAAATAACCAATGAAAGTTATTTTAAGAAAATTTTGCAATAACAAGTATCATACAAGACTCGCAAGGTCGCGGTGACAAAGGGCTGGTAGGAATTTAATAATTCTTTGATTACTCATTTAAGGATATAAACATTTAAAAGTGATGTGAAGTGACTTGGCTAAAAAGTGCGACAATTAATCTTGTTTTGGAGTTTTACAGTTCCAATAATAGTTAGGCCTTGCTTGACACAATGAGTTACTAATGTATTTGCATCTATGAAAGACCGACGATTCGAATTTACGTATAAACACATCGAGACGACTGAAGTAAGTACATGCTTTACTGTTCTATAGTTTTGTGGGTGGGATTAAATTATTGTCGGCCTCCTCCCATGAACCTCCACTGCGAGCTACTCGTGGAATTTCGTCTTGAATTTTCGGTTACTTAGAGCATGAAATTTTGTTATTTTCTTTGTTTCTTCTGGTTTGTGGTTTGAATTTCGAGCAAAGCTACACGAGGGCTATTTGCGCTAGCCGTCCATAATTTAGCAGTGAAAGACTAGAGGGAAGACAGCTAGTCATCACCACCCACCACCAACTCTTGGACTACAACTTTTACCAACGAATGGTGGGATTGACCGTCACATTATAATGCCCCCACGGCTGAATGGGCGAGAAATTTGGTTGAAACGAGGTTCGAACCGGCGACCATTAGGTTGCGAGTCGAGCGCCCTAACCACTTGACCATGCGAGGCCTTCTTTGTTTCTAGAAGCAAACTCTGTCATTCTGTTCAGGATATATATGTGAGTGAATTTTCTTTTCTTTTTTTCATAAAAGATATGTTAATTTATTTATTTGTTCAGTAATTTCATCTTTATTATCAAATAATACTTGTAAACGGTGTAAGAAATCATACATTATGCTATATTTTATTGATGGAGTGTGGTGTGAATTGCGATTTAGAAACAGGTTGATGCCTTTGGTTCTCCAATATAATAATACAACATTGATTTCTATAAGGTTGTGTATTATGAATAAAATTTCATGCTGTTCTAGACACATGCATAAAGGTAAATCGCAACGAATCTTTATTGAGCTTCAGTATGCGTAATGTAAGCTCCTGATGAAGCCGTAAGGCGAAATATCAACCAATAAAAAAGCTTTCTTTTACTGAAGTTGTGTGAACTAACCAAAAAATAGAACGATTTAGACTAAGTTCCACCTTGCTAACATTCAACCATGTATGAATATAAATCATGCTGATTAAATTCCATTTTTTCTGTTATTGAAACGATGTGTAAATAGAGCACAAATGATAACGCATAGTATAACTTAAGTAATCTAACCCCTGAAAAATATAAATCTTTTGATAGAGAATCATAGTGTTTCGTATGCGTTACAATTGTAGAGTAATATTAATGGCGGGAGTTGGAAATAAAAAGACACAGCGGTATGTCTGCGGACTTACAACGCTAGAATCCGGGTTTCGATACTCGTGGTAGGCAGAGCACAGATAGCCCATTGTGTAGCTTTGTGCTTAATTACAAACAAATAGATTTGGGCTTATATTGAAACTTCAATAAATTATTGAAACAACTGATTACATTTTGATGAAATAATGGGGTTTGACTGCCACTCATTCTTATAGAGCACTCACGGCCCCAAAGTGTGAAACGTGGGTTTTTACAACAACGGGAAGTGAACAATGAACTCCTCGGGTTCACAGCCTGGACACGTTAACGTGCTAAATCTAATTATTGAAACACCTAATAAAATTCATCACACATAAAGAATTAAAGCTTTTTTTTCAACTATTAAATAACATGCGTGCAAGCACTTAAGAATTTAGCCAACTAAGATACAACAAGAAACAAAGAGGTCAAACAAGAATCTATTTTCACTTCATTATTTAAGATTTACAGTATAATTACTCAATTGGGGGACAAGCCCAAATCTTCTAGCAAAACATATCTATATATTTATATATATTATTGAAAATTTTGCTTTCTGCCCCTGTCTATCGCAGTACATTATAGCTGAGAATCTATTTAATATTATTGAATTTATTCTTTAGCAAATCAAATAATCAGTTCTTTAATCAATCAAACAAGTAGAAAAATGTTGTAAAATTAAAGCCTAATTATAATTTTTTTCACTAACAGTTTTTAACAAAAGATTAAGCACAAGGAAAACAAAAAAAACACGAGAATTCTGTAATGAAATGTCAATTAACCTTTCACAGAAAGATGCTACTATCAGCTGTAGGAACACTATAACGAAAAAAAAAAGTCACGAGAAAAAGAGGAAACAGATTGCATAGGATTCACTCGGGAATTTTGTTTCGTAGGCGTACAAAGAGACTATATGGAGTTCGGACTATCGAACTCCAAACTTGGAAAGACAGGTCGTCCATATGGTGCCGCCCAGAATTGCCAATTATTGTGACATGTGAAATAGGACTGTCAGGTCTTGTTGGATTCTATCCAGGAGTTTCCTTATAGCTATCGACTCGCTAAGACACCGGCTGGTGTTTCAAAGGAAGGTTAGTCTAGCCCCCGGAGAAGAGATAGGACGCCAATTACGGCTGATGTCTCCATAAGCCTAACGATAATGGGAGCGAGAAGCAACATCGTTAGACACAAACTAAATCCTGGTGTAGGTAACTGAAAAGGCAAAAGATGAACACGTATCGATTCGGTAACTATAGAAAAGAAGATAAATTACTATAGAGTTGCTGATGTCAACGATAAACTTGATCAAAATATTTTGAATAGTTTCTGCTGTATCGTTAAGTGTGGAGAAGATATGTGGTTTTGAAATTGCATTTTTTTATTATTTGACTAAAGTTGTCTAGTTTTACATTAACTGTTCCTTAATTTATAAATTATTCCTGGAATAATAAAAAATAAAAATGGAAAAGAACAATGTAACTTCTCTTCAGAGATGCGAAGATTGACACTCGTTCTCTTATTATAGATGCCCTCCAGTGGATCAATGGTAAGTCTGTGGGCTTATAACACTAAAAACCGAGTTTTGATATCAGTTGTGGGCACAGAACAGGTAGCCCATTGTGTAGCTTTGTGCTTAATTATATACAAACTTATAATAGATATTATATAATAATGGTACAAGTGAAGTACTTGGAGCAGTTAGTTAAATGTGTGGAATAGAAATTAAAGTATAATAGTAATATTTTTATACAAGTAATATATGACAACTTTCTTACTTAAAATTTCAAAATATTAATATGAAAGGTTTAAGAAAGAAATTTAATTTTCGACAATAATAATTTTTAGATATTCAGCATTTTTCGTTTTTCTTCAACCATATTATCAGGATAATGTTCAGAAGTTTCGCCTTTTTTTCACATTTTCTTGCTATTTGACAACCTATTCTGAGTTATTTCAAATTTAGCACTTACATTTGTTCGTAATACCTGTCCGTCGTGTCTTTTCATCTTCTGAACTGTAAATATCCAGTTATTTTGACTGTGAAAAACTAGAAATTATCCTTTACAGACGTGAAGCTATTATGTTAAATGAATCTTTGTTGTATGTGAAAACGAAGATTGTT